GGAAATAACAACTCTAGGAGGTAAAGAGCTAAAGTGAAGAAGTCAGGCCAAGCACCTCCTCTCTAATTGGAAAAGGATTCGTGGCACCTCCTGTCAATATGCTTGTTTGTGTGCAGGAAGACCTTTCTATTTTTGCATGAACCAGGGGAATGAAAAGCAAATCTTTCTCATTAATTTTTCAGTAGTTTGCGACTTCCTTCTACCCACATGTAACAGATTTGGAACTGGCATGGGCTTGGGGGTCCTGAAACTATTACAGTTCTAGGGTGATGGGGGCAGGGGCAGATGGGGTTGTGCTAAGCAGCCATTGGAAACCTCTTTGAAATTCACTTGAAATGTTTTAATTGGGTACAATTTATTCATATAATGATAAGGAAATTGCTGTTTAAAATTGTATGATATGTGTAACAGTAGAGGCATGTCATCCTGCCTTGCTAGCCCTGAGGAAAGGATGGTTGGGGAGGAAGAAATTGCCTCTACCCATAGAGGTTCTTCTAGCTGGTCTAGGAATCAAATTGATAAGAGACAGAAAACAGGAGAGAAAACCATAGTTTAACTATGTATGTATGGGGCACAGGGAAGGCACAGAAATGGGCTCTAAAGACAGTCAGGGAGAATAAGGTATAAATGTCACCCTGCACCAAGGAGGAGGGGGTGGGGGTCTGAGACTTCAAAGGGAAAGGAAGCACCTCAGAGGAATATGAAAAGAATAAATGTTTGATAAACAAATGTTGATGGTCCCCACAGGAACAGTGAGGGGCTGGGGGAGGCACAGAGAGGAATTTTAACACACTTAGCCACCTCCCTTCCAGCCTACCATCCCAGTTCACATTATAATGCAGCTGCTATGGGGACAGCTCTCCTCCTGGATTAGTTCCTCCATCTAAATTATTTTTACGCTGTTGTTGGTGGGGGAGGTCAAAATTTCTTCCTGAGGTTTTTGGGTCTTGATGATTTTCAGCCCCAAATCATCTGTATATCATAATGGCACATCTTGGGGAGGCCTGCCCTTGGCCCCCACAGGAGTTTTGTGATTTGTATGTGGGGGTGCTGTGTGCAGTGTGTGTGCATGGGTGTGTGTTTGAGTGTGTGGTTGGTGGGTATGTGGTATGTGTCTGTGTGTGGTGTGTGTGTCTGTATGTAAAGTCTTCACTCAGAAAGAAACTCCTAAGCTGAGTCTTGAGAGATAAGCATTTCAGATGGTTAAGAAGAGTAGGGATCTTCAGGCAGAGTAAACAGCACTTCAGCAACAGAGAGACTTCAAGGGAACAGAAGCCTGATCTTGCTTATGCAGAGGGCGAGTTGAGAGATACAGCTGGTTGTGGCAAGCAGGCCAGGTCACAAACGCTTTGTCTGCTCATACCTGGGCAAAAGATGAAAGTTGAGAAAATGGCAGCCAGTTTGATCAGTGATCAGGTAACTATTTAACTGGCAGGGAGGAACTTGCCCTGTCATGCTGGTCTCGCCTGAAAGGGATTGACCCTGGATTCTCATTCTGGATTTGGTGAATCCCAATAACAACAATGGAACATCACGGGTAAAGGGTTTATACCAAGCTTTATTCTCACAGTGGCAGGTTGGGTGCTGGAATCACGCTCATCTGCCTCTGGGGCAGTCTGCATGCAGTAAGCCTGTCTCTGTCTCTACCTCCAGGCAGAGAACACTGGGTGGAGCTCTTTACATAGTGACTAAGACAATAATAGCTTATTGCCTATGGGTGTGGAAGCTGTAGCCCAGCAGTAGGCCAATTACATCACCAAGTAGTTTAAGGTCAGGTGAGGATCCTAGCCATAGGAACTTCCATTTTCCCCACAAATAGAAATACATTTGGTCTTTGTCCCTGGTTCCTGGTACAGAGCTCCTAAAACCCTTGGGGTTCTCTGAGTGATAGGAGCATCTTTTGTCACTTATAAGGAGCCCCTTTTGAGCCCACCAGAGATTATGCTAATGATGCGACATAGCGTGGAGGCCCTAGGTAGCCTCGGGCTAGGATTGGTCACCAGAAAGTACACCTGAGCGCTGGGCTGGAACTTGTAGGCACACCTACCAGTCTCTGGGAAGGGGGGACCACAGATTAAACTCTATAAAATTCTTGAACAAGAGTAGGTGAAGGCACTCACACAATGGAAGAGTGGCGTACTGCAGTTCCCCAGGGACAGAAGCTCCGGTACTTTAGGGCCTCCCAGGCCTCACACTACGTACCTCTTCATCTGGCTCTTCATCCGTTTCTTTTGTAATAGCCTTTACAATAAACTGGTAAAAGTAAGTAAATGTTTCTCTGGGTTTTATATGCTGCTCTAGCAAATTACTCTAACCCAAGTTGGGGTTATAGGAACTTCCAATTTATAGCCAGTCAGTCAGGAGAACAGGTAACAAGCTGACCTTGCAAATGGCATCTGAAATGAGGGCAATCTTGTGGGATTGAGGCCTTCACTTGCAGGATCTGACTTATCTCCAGGAACATAATGTTGGAATTAAATTAAGTTGTGGGACATCCAGTGTTTGCTGAGAATTGGAGAACTGCTGGTGGTGTTGGGAAACACACATCAGACCCAGTAATCAATCACATTGGTCTTTTAGGCCAAAAGGTCTCTCTCTGTATGAGTGTTCCCACATCCTTTATCAGTCATGGTTTGGCACAGTCCTTGAAGATAGAAGGATGAATTTGGAACCTATCAAATCTCTTTCAGTTCTGATGACTTCATGGTTTTATCCCTAGATTTAATTATCTGCAGCTCATAAATGCTACTAACAATGACAACTAAATAGTACTTTTTGCATTATTTCTTCTCAAATTTCCAGTCCCTGTAGATTGCTTGTCTGTGTCACAGAAACCACATTGCACTCTCCTAGAAAAAATGAAATGTGACCAAGAGCTCCCTCACTGCCACCTCCTGAGGAGAAGGTGTTAGAATCCAGGCTAGTCACCATCAGCCGGAACGCTTGCGTCGGGCCCCCTCGTTCAGGGCCACTATGGAAACAGGCTTTCTGACTTCCACAGGCACTTGACATCCAAGGAACTCAACTATAGTATTCTTTAGATGATTTCTGCCTCCTAGTTCACATTTTATTATATCTCAGCATGTGGCTCAGCTCTGATGGCATCACCACTATTCCTGGAGGTCTGGCACACCACTGTGGCACCTCATCCCGATTTTCTCAGTAAATCCACTTAACTGCAGCTTGCAAAATGGTCAGATCTTGCCTCCATCCACTCGGCCTACTATAACAAAAATACCGTAGACTGCGTGGCTTAAACAACAAACTTTCATTTCTCACAGTTCTGGAGGTTGTGAGGCCAGATCAAAGCGCCGGCAGATTCATCGTCTGGTGAGAGCCTGCGTCCTGGTTCATAAATGGCGGCCTTCTTGCTGCTCCCTCACATAATGGAGAGCTAGCCTGGGAAGAGACAGCATCACAGAAAGAACTGTGTCTCCCTGAAACTCGTATGCTGAAGCCCTAGCCTGCTGTACCTCAGAATGGGCCTGCATTTGGAGATGGGACCTATAAAGAGATTAAATTGAAATGAGGGTTTTAGGGTCTGCCCTAATCCAACCTGACTAGTCTCTTTATAAGAAGAGGAGGTTAGGGGACACAGAGAGACACGGTGGGATGCACATGCGCAGAAGAGTGACCACGTGAGGACACGGCGGAGAGAGGCCTCAGGAGAAACGCACCTGGCTGACACCTCGATCCGGGACATTTAGCCTCCAGAACTGCGAGAGAAAAAATTTCAATTGTTTAAGCCGCGCAGTCTGTGGTACTTTGTCGTGGAAGCCCCAGCAAACCAACACAGACGGTGATAGACCATCGCTGTGTATCAGATGAGCATGTGAATGAACAAAATAAGAGACTTCCTTTTGAGGCTACAGGGGGAAGCAGAAATAGAACGGCTCAGTGACCTCACAGTCTCACCCGTGCTGGTAGGGCATTTGGAGGGAGAGAGCGCCCCCCCATGCATCCACTGAGATTGAGTTGGGCCTATTTTGGATCTGGATTACTGCCACTGCTCAGATGCCTAGTGGGGAACAATTGACTATACATCCGTTTTCACCTGCTATAGATCAGTCACTGCCTATTAATTCTTTCAGTGCCAGCTTTGACTGAAATGTGTCCTGGCGTATATGTGAACCTGTACGATCATCCTTTATACATAAAATTGGGAAGCTGTGCCTCCCTACAAGAAATATCTTTCATTTGGGATTAGAAAATCAAGCAACAGTTTCCCAGGATGATCTGCTGAAGAATAGGAGTCAAGTGTCAATGGCTCTGCGGCAGGCTTGTAACAAAAACAAGCAAGCAAGCAAACAAATAAAAGGCAAGATTCCGTACATTAGCATAGGCCTTGTGATACACTAATGCCACACACACACACACACACACACACACACACACACACACACACATGCACACACACCCCCATTGGCCTAGAAACCCTCCACCGTCCCAAGTCTAAGTGCATGGGGTACAGCCACACCTGACATCTCTTTGTCTATATTCTTTCACAGCTTTTCTAAAGGATTTTAGCTTTTGTGACTTCTCCCACGGCCTGTTTTTTAAAGGAATCCACTTTTACGTGGTTCCTTTTGTATAAATACACATGGGCCTAGGGAGAAGATTCCACAGTGTAATGGACCTGCTTCCCTCCGTTACCTGCCACTGCACAGAGATGAGATGCGTATTTCTCCTTCTTCCAATTAAACTTGCTGACAGGCAGAACTGGGTGCAAAATGAAATTTTAAAAGAGAAGCTATCAAGAGAATAGAATCTAAATGTTCTCATTGCACATACATACACAAATTAATTATGTGAGGTGAAAGATATGTTAACTAATCTTAGTGGAGTGATCATTTTATAATATATACATGTATCAAATCATCACCTGGTACACCTTAAACTTACACTGTTTTATGTCAATTATATTTCAATATAGCTAGAAAAATAAAAGAGCAGCCATAATGAAGAAGATGGCCAGCAAGCAAGAGTAGTTCAAGGAAAACTAAAAATTTTGTATGAAATAACAGGAATCTAGGGAAGTGGACTCCAAGATGCTATTTTTATTTTCACCATTTCAGGTTAACACGGATTGAGTTAATGATGTTTTCCTATAGCTCCCAGGCAACTCAGAAATGACACGGCTCAGATGAGCAGAGATGCACTTTCTGACTATTTGAAAGGGATGAGGAGCAAGGTCTGGGGCTTGTGCTGCGTCCCCGGGCTGCAGAAATAGAGGAAAATAGTATTAATCAGGGATTTCCTCCTGTACCCTGAGCAAATGGCAATTTCCACAGGTCCTCTCCTTGTCAGTTTCACCAGTTTGAATCAACTGCTCAATTTCAGTGGCTAACAGGCTTTTTTTTAATTGAAGTAACCTCCAAAGTCCAATGATGGGAAATGAGCCACATTAGAGTAGAGGATCATTTAAAAATCCTGAATTCCATTCCACCTTTAGTGTTCATGTTTTCCATGGGAATGATAAAAATGTGTAGGTTCAGAAAAAGGAAATTTCTAACACCCAAATGGGAAAATTTGAGATGTTTCCTGTTGCTAACAGATTGTTAAAGACCAAAGAACCAGCTCAAACTGAGGTCCACTTTTTGGAGGACTGGAAATTGCTATTTGGGGATTTTATACCTACCTTTTTAAGTCAGTCAAGATGGGTAGAGACATTTTAGAGCTTCAGCTCTACTTTCTTCTTTAGAAACATTTTCTCAGCATACACCTTTTATGGAATTATTTGATTATTTTCTTAAAGTTATTTAATTATTCAAAAACCTGACTCATAAATGCTTCATGAGCTTCCACAAGTGGTGTGTGTGTGTGTACATGCATGCTCACATGCATGTGTGTATATTTTTGTGTGCACCCTTGGACAACTCTTGTCTGTAAGTTTTCTAGATAATTGTCTGCATTGGACTGTAAGCTCCAACAGGACTATTCCTAGGTCTCTTAATGTTGAACTCTTATTTTGTGGTATTCAAAGCATAAGCATAATGGAGATGGTGAAAGGTAGAGCATCTTTCCTGAGAAGGGAAAATGACGTTTCTGGTTATTCATATCATATTATAATCCATACTCATATTATCAGTTCACATTGCCATATTTTGTTATATTCAAATATATTATTTGTATTATGGAATTTTTTACAAAGAAAAGCATTCAGATACATAATATAAAGACATTCAATGTTAAATGATCTATAAAAAGCAGAAGTCATGAATGTTTAGTCTTCCTTTCAAGCTTTTGGCCTCCAGACAGCATCCATCCTGTGTTAAATGCATTGTCTATTGTACTCTTATGGATTTTTTTTATTGTGGCAAAAGCATATAACATAAAATTAACTATATTAGCCTTTTTAACTGTACCAGTTTAGTAGTGTTAAGTATATTTACATTGTTGTGTACAGAATCTCTAGAAGTTTTTCATCTTGCAGAATTGAAACTCTATGCCCATGAAAAAACAACTCCCCTTCTCCTTCTCTGCTCAGCTCCTGGTAAATACCATCCTAATTTTTGTTTCTAGAGATTTGACTATTTTAGAGATCTCATATAAGTGGAGTCACACAATATTTGTCTTTTGTGACTGGCTTCTTTTACTTTTAGCATAATGTCCTCAAGGTTCATTCATTCTTTAATATTTGGCAGGCTAGCTCTCCTTTCTTAAGGCTGAATAATATTCCACTGTGTATATATATCATCTTTATCCATTCAACTATTGGTGGGCACTTGGATTGCTTCCACCTCTTGGCTAGTATGAATAGTGCTGCTGTGAGCATGGGTGTGCAAATCTCTCTTCAGACCCTGCTTTCAGTTCTTTGGATATATACCCAAAAGTGGGGTCATTGATAGTTGGGTTTTTAGTTTTTTAAGGAACAGTATACTGTTTTCCATAGTGATTGAACCTTTTTACAATCCCATATGTAGTACAGAAAAGTTTCAATTCTTCTACATCCTCACCAATACCTGTTATTTTCTATTCTTCTGATAGTAGCCATTCTAATGGGTGTGCCTCTTACTGATTTTTAACTAACAGGTTCCACAACTTCTATTAGGGTCTGTTTCATTGTCCTGTAATCTTCACTACTGAAATATCTTACTGTTTGTTCATTCACTCACTAAGCCTTTGTTTAGCACCTCCTTTGTGCTAGGGAGAAGGGGATAGAAAGACTTTTTTTAAAAGACATCTTGCATGCCATAGGAAAGCTGACAATCTCATCAAGAGCAGACCTCTAAATAATATGATCAATACACTACATTTACTTCACTTAAGAAAAGTGATGTGTCAAAATAGACTCTGGTGCAATGTGACATGGCAGGACTAAGGAGGGAGTACTTAAGTACTGCTTGGTGAATGAACTCCAGGGAGGTGATGGTTGAGCTGATTCTTGAAGCATAAGGTTCTTAAGACAGAGGAGGAGAAAGGAAAGGCTCAGGGGGCTTGCATGTGTAAATGTAAAAGGGATGGAATAGTGCCAAAGTTTAGGAAACCAGAGAGAGTTTCCTATGGAGATGGTTAGAGCACAGGATGTGTGGTGGAGTGTGACAAAGGCACAAAGGAGGGTGACACAGGAAATGGCAGATTTGATGCCAAGACGGAAGCAGGAACCAACTATGAAGGACCTTATGTGTTATGCTTCAGAGAGAATGTGTCTTATGTGGTCAGAGAAGAGAAATGGATTGAAAATGTAACAGGGCTGAGGGAGGGAAGGTGAGGAATCCAGGATGACTCAAATTTCTGGGTTAGGAAACTGGGCGGATGGCATTGGCGTTAATTGAGATGAGAAAATAGGAAAAAGAATAAGGGGCTGTTGGTGCTCATTGGGGTAGCACCACTAGGAGGATAACAAGGAGACAGAAGAGGTATGAAGTGCCTATAAAATATGGAAAAAGAGATGTTCAGAGACGTGGTTGGAAAAATGAGCCTGGAGCCCCAGAATGGGGTCTGAGCCAGAACAACAGATTTGGAAATCACCCTGGATAAGTTAATAAAGCCCCGGGAGGGGATGACATCACTCAGCAAACAACCCAGAATATGGGAAGATAGACAACAGAATTCCAGGAAGCCCAGTTTTTATAAGATGAGAGACACAAGAAGAGGTTAGAAGAGCCAGAAGGAAAAAGTCCTCTGGTTGGTCGGAGAATGAGATAATGCGCCAAACTGTCCAGTGAATTTGGCGACCAGATTATTGTCCCCTTGGCAAGAGAATTTTCAGTGGATTAAGGCCATGGGGCTCAGACTGCAGTGACTCAAGGGAGGTGGGGAACAGAATACTCTAAATGTAGAATACTCTTTCAAAGTTTTTGGAAAAAAGAAAAGGGGAGAGCAGGATGGGTAGCTGGAGAACTGAAAGAAAGGTTTTACTTTGCTTTTCTGGGATGAATGGCAATTAGGCTGGGAGAAAGGGAACAGTGAAATGGAGGAGAAAGGGGGAAACTGATTCAGTGAGATCCTGACCTGTAAAAACTTGCTGGGCTCAAAAGTGTAAGTGGTGGCCCAGCATCAGGCAAGAAGAGGTAAGAACAGATATTCTAGGGCACATCTATGCCACCAAAGTGGACTCATTCCTTCTTGCACTTTATAACGAGTCTCTTAATTTCTCAGCAAAGATGGAAAATGGGTCAACCTCTCTCTCCATATTAAAACAACAGAAATACAAATCGTACTACCTAAATGTCTGCTCCTCTCTTAGTCATTTGAACTCCATCTAAATCTTTTGTACAAGTCACCTTTAGTTTGAATAATCCAAAAATAACAGAAGGACTCTCCTAGGTATTACTCCATAGGATTTCCCAGAAAAATAGGAATCCTGAGTTCACTGATGGCAGAGTTGCTAAGCAACCATGTCACAATCTAACCTGATATACCAAAGTGGCCCGACACAGGGAATTGCCTCACTTTAAGTGCAAATGTAACTCCATACTTCATTTTACGTTCTTCCCTTCCCCCATACATTTGTCAGCCTTTATGAAAGGGAAAATTTGCCATAAAACACAAAAGATATGTTTCCTTAACAATGAAATTTATTATGCCAGATAGGCCATGATGCAAAAATGGTACCTATGTCTACTCCAGAACAGAAACTGGAGAAATTCTTGAGTTATTAGAATGCTTTCATTTAGAAACGCTCCATCTATTGTGCAGTTGCAACATGTTTGTTGCTAGAGACAAATAGAAAAGATTTGCCTGAAGAATTACAGATAGGACTTAACTCCGAACATTTTTTAATGAGCTTCAAGGGACTGTTTTCTTGAGCACAGAGCACAAGAGGGTGATAGAGAAACACAATATTTATTATTAAAATTCTTGATATAATGTGCTTTGTGTAACACTCTGAGATTTACAACATTTTTGCCCACTAACTGCCATTTTTTTTTTTGGAGAATAGTATTTCTAAGATGATTATGATGACTGAGGAACAGAAAGGGAGCTAATATTGGCTGGGTAATATTAGGGTCAGGGAACTGGAGTCTAGGAACCTTGCGTACATAATCTCATTTATCTCCCAACCTATGAAATAGTTATTATCCTTCGTTATTCCATACATTCACATTTATTAATGGAGAAAGAAACCCAGATGTGTGTGTTAGATCCAGGACAGGGTCTTTTCTTTTCTCCGTGTTTTTCAATATGGAATCCCTTAAACTCTGGAAGATTAAGTGATCTCTATCTACTACTTGAACCCTCTCATTATTATCTTTCCTTACACTCATGTATAATCATTCCTTGTAACTCTAGTCTATAACTGTTTTCTTACTAAGCACTCTCACCTACCTGGACTGCTGTATTACTCCTGCTATAATGCTGCTATTCTTACCTTGTCTTCAAAGCCCAGGCTAACATTCCATTTTCTCACCACGTCTTCCCCCAACACTCCCAGAATTCCTTGATGGCCTGGTGTGCTGACCTCTAAAACCCTCACTAAGACCAGTAACAAATCAAGCCTATTATAGCAATGGACAATATACAGTGGAACCATGACGGGTTAATAGATATTAAGTCCTTCTATCAACACTTGATGTTCTGGGACCAGAAAACATTAATATGAATAGAAGACCTTCAAAGCTGCTAAACCAGGTATGTAACAATGTATACAGTACGTTCATTAAAGCAAAGAGGATGGTATTACTCCTACATCCCAAACAGAAAGCCAGTGAAGATGAAACTGATGAATGGTCATTTCATGAAATGAAATCTAAAACTGGTATTTTCCTCCTCTGTCCTACCAGATTAGAACTCTGGTAAGAGCATAAAACCCTGGTCACCACTGTTAGATGGACGAAACAAAGAGGCCATTAGACTGAGGTGGCTCTGATGCTGCGGCAGTCTGCATAAGCAAACTAAAGTCTAAACCTGTACATGCCTCAAGATTATGAAATCAAAGTCCAAAAAGACAACCAATCACAAACAGCTTTAAGTAGGCTTTAAGCTATAGCCAATCAATAATTTCCTTGTTTTGCTTTTGCTTTTTTTACAAAAGTCTGTGGGTAAAATTGTAATATTTTCAGAATCTCTGCCCTGGCTTTAGTGCATCTGCATATCAATAGGTGTTTCCAAGAAGTGGAGAGAAGTATCATCTCCGTATCAGTGGTATTTCAAGGGGTAAAGAGAAGTGGTCCACATATCAATAGATAATTACATGGGCATGAGAGGGCTAATCTGGACCTGAGAGGTTGGGTGGAGCTCTCTTCTGTGGCAGCTTGGTCAAAAGAGAGATGGGAAGACTGCTTGTAAGAAATAAATGGGTTTCTTAACTTTATTTCTCCCTTTGACTGATTTCAGTTTCAAAGGTATTTTTGCCCCGGGATCTCCCCCCGGAGCTACAAATTTTTCTCAGAGTTCGTGTCAGGGGAGTGAGGTTAACCACTTCCGGTTTGGCACTGCCTGATTCAAACTGATTTTCTTTTTTATTATTGTATTGTATTGTATTATATTATATTTATTTTATTTTATTTATTTTATTTTGGTATCACTAATCTACAATTACATGAAGAACATTATGTTTACTAGGCTCCCCCCTTTAGCAAGTCCCCCCCACAAACCCCATTACAGTCACTGTCCATCAGCATAGTAAGATGCTGTAGAATCAAATTGATTTTCACTCAAATAATTTTTAATATTAAAAAATTTTTAATTTTAAACCCAATTTCTCGTTTAACAGCACTCTTTGAGAACTATGGATTGAATGAATGAGAAGGAAAAACTTGGTAAGTAATACCTTGGTTAGATATTAGCATTCTCATCTATTGGTGATTGTTCTCTTTCTACAAAAGATATCTCATTGCAAAATATGCTCTCATTTGTCTCAGCTGGATTGTTCCCCCTCAAGGCAAGGGCCTCTTGTTCAATATCTTCATGTTTCTAACGCCTAGCATGGGAATCACTCAACATATATTCCAGGTTGTTGGCAATGAATATTGCCATCTATTCCTTCTAGGTAAGGGTTCATAATTCTCTCCTCCAAAGTCACCTTCTTTTAAGATCTAAAGAGGATTGGGAACATTAACTAGCATCCACCTAGTGGTAAATAACTGGCTTCTTAAGGGTTTTGTGTGTGTGTGTGTGTGTGTGTGTGTGTATACTTCTGGGACATTTTGAACAGGCATTAGATTGTATTCCCACATTGCCTCTTCATATAAATAAAGACTGTATGTCAGAGACAGATTGTGCAAGTCAAATTTCCATCCACAATAATACTCAGCCACCTTTAAAAATGCATTTCACTGGAATTTCATTCTAAATGAACATTAAAAAACAGGCATGCAAAATTAAGAAAAACATTGATTTTAGTATAATAAAACTGATTTCATTAGTTTCCAGAAATTTGGAAAATAAAACCATATATGGCACACTTGGCCATAAAAAAAATGCACTGAAGTAGTTCATTCTCATCTATAACGTCTGATCAAAGACAACACTTTTGTCACATACACATCTATTTGCTTGCATCTGTTACAGACTGAGCTGTTCATTAGATTTAATGTGCTCCCATGGATCCACTGGCTAATAAAAAGGCATGGTTTGTGTACTTTGCTGCCATTTGGGCACAAAAATTATCCTAGGCTGAAAGATATTTTGTGTTCCTCTACTCCCCCCTGCTGGTAAATTCTAATATAGTGCTTTTATTTTTTTTTAAGTCAAGCTGATAGAAACATTGTTTTTAAAATAAGAGAAAAATAAATGTTGAAAGTCATTAAAAAAAGTGTTCATTCGTTTCCTAAAATGCAATTCTTTAAGTTTGAGATATTAAACATTATTTTCTAGAGCAAACTATTGGGCCATATAATGTGTTTTTAGTGTCCAGATGTTTTATCCCCCACTTATATTTGATGTATAGTCAAAAGAATGGAGCCATATGAAATAGGAAGAGTGTATTTGGCTACAAAAATGTAATTATAAATGAATCCATTTAAAAATTGAAATAGCACACTGCACCACACTTTGCTTATATTGATCCATTTACATTACAAATCATTCTCACCTATGTACACCTCATTTATTTCATACAACAGTACTATGAAACAGGTATGCACGTTCTAAAGTATAGAACTTATTAGTATAATAAAACTTCCTAAAATGCAAAAAGGATCACTGGGGTCAGTCTCAGGTAAGATTCTGAAATCGATTCACATATTTGGCACCTCCAACTGTTCCCTTTTTTGCCATTTCCTCTATAAACCCCTCTGTCTTTTCCCTAGGTGACCCATGGTTTAATGCTGTCAAGGTCTCCCTTTAGAAAATAAAGGGAAAATAAACTGAAACATTTAGTGTCTTATCTCTCAGGATAATTTGCATTTTAAAAGAAAATCAGAACTAAAGCCCAACTAGGATATCACAGAGATGGTGAGGGAGACATTTGTAGATAGAAAGGTTTTCAGTTGCTACTCACATCAAAAGGTGAAGGTGATGGCTTTTGAATGAAGGCTGCCCCCAAGTCCACTGGTGTCTCCCACAGGGAAGGTACTGCATTCAGCGTTGTGTGCGTTAGATCAAGGGTGGGTTTTGGAGCTCAGCAGATCCACGTTGCATTTTGATCCTGACATTTCACATCTTACAACATTGTACAATTATCGTAACCTATCTAAATCTCAGCTTTCCTATCTGTAAAATAGGGATAATACCACTTCTTGGGGCTGCCGTAGCTTGCATGCTGTATACAATAAACCACTTCGTAGGGCTCTTAATGTCTGGCATGTTACATAAAATGTTTGTTAGTTCCCTCTGATTCTTCCCTTGATGGCGCTTCTCACATAGCACAGTAATTCAAGTTTGGCGAAAGGTTAGATTAGACAGTAACACCTACTAATTTTAGTAATCAGGTTTTTGCAGGTGAATAAGCTCTTTCCTAGGCAATTTTTCATTGGAACATTCACCAGAAATATCTCCAAATCAGATCTCATAACTGACCCAGCACTCCTGTGGGTATTGAAGACTTTTCTGGATGTGAGATATCCACATAGCTTCATGTTTCCCTCTGTCCACTCTCTGGGCTGTGAAGCCACCATCTTTAGTAATAACCACTTCTGCCTGGTGTGGTACAAAAGAATAAAATCTACATAGAGCTCATGGAAGCTCAGGTCATGCATGGAAGGGCAATGGAAGGACAGGTCATGGATTTGAGCCAGTCACCATCATAGACTCAGGGTCAGGTGCCCGGTACCATTAAGAAACCATCAGCATTGCCTGCCATCAGCCTGGCCTCCAACGTGAGACAATGTCTTAGCAGCTTGTTCTGTTATCACCCATATCTCTCTCTCCTTTTGTCTCCAGGAAAGGTTTGTCTCCAGCCAAAGCAATAATGGCTCCCCGCAGAGTTCCACAGAGACGGAATCCGATGAGCCAGAAGGTAGTTCAGTGAATTTAAGACCGCTGGCAGGGGTTAAGTGATTCCACCCCTGCTTTAATTTTGGCCATAAAAATGCCCTGAGGTAGTTCATTCTTCTCATCTCCTATAAATTCTGATCAAAAGTCAAGGCATTAGGATTTTAATGCCTCATATATTCTGTGGATTATAGTAATGTACTTTACTGCTATGACCTTTTCAATATTCTGTAATTTGCTTGACTGAATCTGGAGCTCTCCTCCATTTACAGCATTATTGACCTCCGTAGGAAGCACACAGGGTAAACAGATAAACACACTAAACTCTTCAAGGGAAACAAGCCAGGGCAGGGGTGAGGGAGGTCCCCCATGAGCCACGTCAATCTAGCAGGGAAATCGGGGTGCTGCCCTTTTCCCTTACATTAAGGGACCCATAATATAAGTTCCATTGGGAGTGAAGTTCAGCAGAGAAGGCAACAGTGGAGGAGCAGGGAGAAAGGATCACATCAGAAAAATCCTGAAAAAGAGTTTCACACAGTGTGGCACACAGGGTCATGACTGTCTCACTTGCAGCATTTCCTCCAGCTGTCAGAAGGCTCTGAAGGCAGAGACTTCTTCCTTTGTACCAGCCACAAGTACCTGTAATAACAGTTAACATTTGAGTTCTTTAATGTACCAGGTTAAAATGCTAAAAATTTTAAAGAACCATGTTATTCTCATAACAACGCTTTGATGTGGACACTTTAATATCTCCATTTCACAGATGAAGAATTTGGAGCTCAGACAAGCTTTCCCATAATTAAGTGGTCGAGCTGGTATTCAAACAGTGAATTTGACTCCACTCCAGCTAGTGGCATAAACATTGGACACTCAGATTTCCTGCTGCAAGGAGCACGGCCGACAGCCCCAGCTGCTGACCTTCTGGATCCACGTGGCATTTGCACGATGAGCTGCTCCGGCCAATGACTGAAGGTCACAGTGCTGGCCCATTCCTGTGTGTTACAGGAGCCCTCTACCGTGACCAGGTGAGGAACTTCCCAACAGCTGGGCCACAATTTCCTAGAACTGCCCTGCAGTTGGAGCTTCTTCCTACCCAACCTTCCCTCCCTCCCCATTCACAGGTGTCGGACATGCATCTTGATCTGAAGGCTCCCCTTGCCTGTTCCTGCTTCCTCCTGTTTATCCTTCACAAGCACCTGCCCCCAAATTTCTCTTGTACATTTGATCACATCTTGGTGTCTGCTTCTTGGAGGACCTCAAACACACTACTGCTGCCTTATTCTGGGAATGCCGTAAACCTCCCTCTTCTTGTCTGCTTACACCAAGGGTCAAGCAAGCCACACTAGTGACATTTAGATTGATGGAATGCCTGTGTTTGAAAGACCTTGGATATTTTCAAACATTTACCTTCCTCATATCCATTCTATCTTCTCTTTCTTTTAATGATAAAACATATATGATCTATAACTGTCCAAATTTCTTAGATCTGAGGGACCACAGAAATGTCTGACTAAAGCTTGGAGACACAGAGTGAACACAGAGACAGGAAAACCCCCCAAGTAAGAGACAAGCAGGTCAGAAGGGTCTTCTCAAGGGGCTTATGTGTTCATTCCCCAAACACCAGCCACCAAGTGCTTTGAAATGGCAGTTTCTCTCCATTACAAAAGTAATTCAGCAGTCAACTACTAGGAGGTGAAGCCTAATGCACATTAACTAGAAAGTCCCAAAATACAAAGGTGTAGTAAAGGCCCCTAGAGATCCTGTGGCAGGGAAATTAGTTTAAATTCCCACATTTATTTGACAAGGGATCTACTTTTTACACTCCTCAGAACTAGGCATCTGGAGTGTATACACATAGGTTCCTCTACCTTCCTCTAGTTCCAAATCCAGTGTCTTTTAATTTTCATGCTCAACGGGTTTTCTTGCCTTTTTTGTTCACCCAGCTCTATTAGAGTGGCAGCTGAAAGCTTTTCTTGCTAATAAGAATTCCTCATTCATTCATTCATCCACCCAAAAAGCATTCACAGAGAATTTTGTTCAAAGGTTTGGGCTACATGTTGTGGGAAGTACACATGAGCCTGGCCCCTGCCCTCTCCAGGGATTAGACCTAGAGGGGGAAGGGTAAGGCATGCACGTAGACTGCTCAGCAGGAGCTGCTCCTGACTGGGCCTCCAGTGTCACTCCTTGGAAACTTCAGGGAAGATTTTGTGAGGAAGGCATCTTTGTGCTGGCTGCCAAGTGCCATCCTCCTTCATGCTGACTATAGCTCCATTTATTTTCAAAATGGAAGTGACTTTTTAATGATTACAAAGTAACTGTGCATTCACTTCCTGGGGCTAGTGTAAAAGCACTGCAAACTGGGTGGCTTAAAACAACAGAAATGTATTCTCTCACAATTCTGGAAACTAGAAATCTGAAGTCAACATGTTGGATGTTGTCAGGCCTGTCCTCCCTCTGAAACCTGTACGGGAATCCTCACCTCTTCCTAGCTTCTGGTGGTGGGCACAAACCCTTGGCGTTTCTTGGCTGGCAGATGCAGCCCTTCAGTTTCTCTCCATCATTTCATGATGTCCTCTGCTCATGGCTGTGTCTGCCCCTTGTAAGGATATTTGTCATATGGGATTGTGGGCCCAGCCTCCTCCAGTATGGCCTCATCTTAACCAAGCACTTCTGCAAAATAAGGTCACATTTTGAGATGCCAGGGCTTGGGACTTTAATGTATCTTTGGGGACAGAATTCCACCCATAACAGTATACTTATGAAAAATGCAGATGATAATAGCAGAAAAGCACAAAGAAGAATGTGAAAATCACCTACAACGTTACCACTCAGAGAAAACCACTCTTCAAAAAATCTTTCCATTTTTCTACATATAAAGGACAACAATCATATCTACATATAAAGGACAACAATCATATGTACAAGTTTGTGGCTTGCTTTTTCTCAAATTACATCCTGAATATCTTCCAAATAAATAAATGAATAACACCCATGAAATTGGTACACAGTAATTTATCTAATCAAGCCCCTACTGTGGTTGATGGCACTATTAACCTGTCCATTTCTTAGCACTGTAAAAGACAGAAAAACTCCTAAGCCTGTATGTACTTGGTTTGTTTTTATTTAATCATTTTAGTTTATCTGCCATTATCTTTTCCCATCTCATTTTTCCTACCTTAAAAAAAATAAGAAAAATGTCAACAGCTTGGATTTCTTGCTCCAGAACAGATATGTCTTCCTACAGAGAAATTTGTATTGGTCTCTCACACACAAGTCTCAGAAGGCTATTGATAAGCTTGACATCTTTTGTCAGTTGTTTCAAAGTCAGCACAAATCCTGGACTATTCTTTTGGATATCAGAACCACACACAGGCAACCTCAAGGGCAAGAGAAAACCCTGTGAGCTGAGAGACTAGAAGACCTAAAATCATCTAGTCAGATGATCAAATTTCTCCTTTAGATTCTCTCTACTTAATTGTTAAATTTACATATTATAAAATACAACAAAAAATTCGGTTTTCCCACCTCATAACCCAGAGTAAGAAACATTTTTGAGCTTAGACCATTGGCTTTTGAGACCAGACCAGAGCTTCTTGAACTTCAATGTACAAATCACTGGGAACCTTATAAAAATGCAGATTGTGATTCTGTAGGTGTGGAGAGGGGCCCGAGTTAACTTCTTGTCTAACCAGTTTCCAGGTGATGCCAATTTATGGACCACATTTTGATGGAAAGGCTGAGAGGGATATTTGCACGCAGGAGGCTTACTCCGGGAGCTCTTAAAACACCACCAGTAAATGAGTGAAGGAAACAGCAGTGGACAGATGAAGAAGCTGAGCCATAATACAGTTGCCACATCCCTGCTTGGAAAAAGGTGACCTTTGTAGCTCCTCAAATCAGACCCAGAACTTTTCTCTGTAAAGCCAAAATGATTGTCCTTGAAATCCCTGCCTCCAAGGCCAGGCCCATTGCACAGGCACATGATCCACTTACTAGTAAAACAGAAACATTAGAGGAATATCTGTCTTAAATTTGGACTTGACTAAGATAGAAAACGATGCAATGTTTCCTCTGGTCACTAGAGCTGACACCAGAGTAATGGACACCAGGGTGCTTCACCTGCATCTACCCGTCCAGAACTGACATGCTCGCTCTCCCCATGTGCAGCAGGAGCCCATCCTACAGGAAGTTTTCTGTAGCTGTCCTCAACTGAGACAAGGGCCAGACATCTACCGCGTGCTTCCACATAGGCCAGACATGGCATGCAGACTGCAGACTGCCCCAGGGAGGAGGCGTCATGTGGGGTGAAGCAGCTCTCTTGCAGGGGTTCTCAGCAGGGTTCTGCTATGAACCTTCGGGAGCAACACTCCTGTTGCACGTGGGGAGAGCGAGCATGCAGATGGGAGCAAGCATAGCTCCGGATGGGGAGATGCACGTGAAGTGCCCTGGTGTCAGCTCTAGTGACCAGAAGAAATCATTGCATTGTTTTCATAGTCAAGTCCGAATTTAAGACAGATGTTTCCTCAAATGTTTCTGTTTTACTAGTAAGTGGATCATGTGCCTGTGCAACGGGCCCGGCCTTGGAGGCAGGGATTTCAAGGACAATCATTTTGGCTTTACAGAGAAAAGTTCTGGGTCTGATTTGAGGAGCTACACAGGTCACCTTTTTCCAAGCAGTGATGCAGGAAGAAGGTTTAGGGAGGCACTCTGGCAGATTCTTGACTAATTTTACAGAAAAGGACACTAAGTGTGAATAAAGTGAAGGTTCCTATGGCCAGGATTCTCACCTGGCCCTGGTTGGCCAGCTCACTACACACATGTGGGCAATATGTCGTTATTGACTCTACATAGAGAGCCCCGCCCAGTGCTCTGGGCATCATGGTGGCAGGGCTGCAAGGCTGCAGGAGAGCGGAGACGAGACTGGAGTGGTGGCAGCACTGAGGACAGAGACTGAGACCGCTTTGGGGGTAGTGGAGCCCAGAGGCAGAGACTGGCTTGCTGCATGCAGACTTGCTCTGAGTGGATGGGATTCTAGTGACTGAACTGCCACCATGGGAATAAAGTTGGGTATAAACCCTTTCACCCCAAGAACGTTCCATTGTCATTTCTTTGGTCTCATTAAATCCATAGTGAACTTGTCCAGGGCTGAAACCCACTGGCACGGCAGTGAGATAGCACCTAAAGAAACTGATGTTTGCCACCTAGGGGCACTAAGACAAAGTCTAAAGTTCAATAGAGTTTCCCTTTACCTAGTTAATGGACTCTATGGGACTTTCAATAGTAATATTTGACTACTTTTGAGAGGTAGGAGTGGGAGTTCACTGGAGTGAGATAAAATAAAAATATCAAGGATAAAATAGCCTTCAGAAAAAGATAAAATCAGACCCATTGTTTATTCTACACTGGATAAATCCCAAATGGATCACAGATCTAAATCTAAGAGATGACACCATACCAGTACTAGAAGAATGAATAAATTCCTTTAGTACCTGGGAGTGGGGAAAACATTTGTACTTAAGAGGCAGAATACAGAGCACTAAGAGAAAGGCCAATTAATTAGTTTAAATAAAACAAAAAAAAGCAAAGCAGAAAGTTGAATGAAAGTCATTTGAAAAGTTCAGCTTACATCACAGAGAGCTATGAAAGTCTCGAAAATTTTTAAACAAGGCCATCATGATGGAAAATAGTGAAAGGACAATTCTAATAAAAAGAAATGCAAATAGACCTTAACAGGTGAAAAGGTTGATTTACTTATTTCAATTAGTATTCAAGAGCTGTTGGTGGGTCTTTAAGAAAAGGAAATCTGAGACATCTAAAATCCAAAATAATGTGAAGTTTGGGGGAGGAAGAAGGCTAAAAAAAAGTAAGTAATTTTTTAAAGTTATGTCCAAAGCAAGAAGAGAGAAGAGTTAGAATGGTTTAGTCTAGTCTGTAATGTACTGGTACCTGTTGAAATTCATGGATTTTCTGCAGTGACTTTTCTCCCAAACACTGTTCCTACTCCACCACTTCATCTTCATCTTTTAATCAAATTAATTCATACTGATACTTCGGAGCAGTTAATGATTGGTACTTTGCCCTCCAGCCCCCAGGATCTTTTATTTTACCCCGTCGCAGAATATTCTTCCTTTCCGTAGTGCACTTCTCTCAGTTGATAATTATTCCCCCTTTAAAAGTAATTATTTTTTACATTGCATTTCAGCCACTTTAAGTGCCGGAAATCACACCGTTTTGCTCATCATCCTATTCCATACTACATAGTAAGTGCTCAACAAACAATTGTTAAAATGAAGCAAAATGCTTAACGTTCTTGTTTTCCCCCATATCTTTCGAGAATTTTCTTTTAGATTGGTAAGGGTAGAACACCTAAAGACTTCAACTCCAAGAAGAGCAAAATGACTCTAAGAAAACTTTCCCTACTTAAATCCATTCATTTGGCAAATAGTCGTTTAGCCCCTGCCAAAGTCAGACAGGGGGGATGCAGCAGCGGATTCGGCAAATGAAGTTCTGTCGCCACTCTCACCAAGTGTAAGAGGGAGTGAAGCGAGGGGTAGTGAACAGACGCTCTGTTGTCCGTATTGAGTCCAAGTGTTCTGCCCTACACGAATTACATCCTAGAAAACCGAGGACACACTTGATGGGGCAGCTGATGTCTGAAAATGAAAAAGCAGCCCGGGATCAGGAGCCGGGTACATGCAGTGCTGGCTGCCAGCAAGAAAGCCGAGGTTTCAGCGACGCGCGGCCCGGCGCCGGGCTCCTCCACCGCATAACTCCGGATTCCACCGAAGTAAGTTGCTGCGGCTGCGCCTTCCGCGGATTTCGCGTTCCCCCAAATATGGCCCAATTACCATGTCGGAAGTTCCACGAAAGGCCTTGGGTTAGGATTTCTAAAGTAGGCGTTTGTAAATCCTGACTCAAGTTGTCTCACCCTGGATTCCATAGAATCGGTTTCTCAGTAAACAGGGCCTTTAGTGTCACCTAAATTCTGAAAAAACGCGAATGAGGTGTCTATCACATTTCCCCAAAAAGATTGTCTCAGGCGCTGGCCATGTGTATTAAAATATGCTTTAACTGATATTTCCTCTAAAATTATGGTTATGAAGGAGCAAGTGGAACTCACCTTTCTTTCATGGTTTTTTGGTGTTGTCAGCCACGCCCTTTGCGGTCTCTGCGCGCCTCAGGAGACAGGCGGCTCCTGGCCACCCTCCGAGGTCCTGATTTTGAAAAACGGAGCAGGCCAATCAGAACGCGGAGCGCTGCTTGGCGCTGCCATTTGATCCTGGGCTGGAACTGATGGTGGGACGGCTACTGTGACTCTGTGTTTGCAGACGCGGTGTGGACGGAGGCTTGAGGATTGCTGCTCGGCTTCAGGGAGCGCACCAGGATGTGCAAGCCGGGGGCCACAGTCAGGCTGAAGGGGAAGGGAAGGAGCAGCCTGTGAAACGGGGTGACGGCGGCGACCAGCCCGGGCGGGGACCGGGACTGGAAGAGGTGCCTGAGCAGCCGGCTGGTCTGGCGGCAGGGCTAGGGCGAGGGGCGCGGGGACGCAGAGACGAACGCCCCCTGAGCCTGCCGGAGCTGGAGGAGCGAGGACAAGGGTCGTCTCTGCTTTCGGAGAGAGACGAGGGCAGTGTGAGGTTTGGAGGAAGGGGGATCTCAGGAAGTGTCCGGAAGTGTTGAGAAGCTGGGAACAGGCGTTGGTACAAGGAATCGAAAGGATCCGGGAGAAAGAAGGGAGGTCTGTGAAAGTTAGCCGAAAAGATCGGGTGACAAAAAAGAGGGTCTGTGTAAGTGAAGGAAAGGTGAGGTCTGGGTAGATCAAAGGGTTGAGAGAAGGTGGTGGAAGTAGCTAGAGAATCGAAGAAAAAGCTGTGGAAGTGGCTGGGGTCCGGGGCCGGAACAGTGCCAGCCGTGGCTGGAAGGCAGCGGAGCAGAGCGCAAACCTGAGAGTGGATATTGGAAGACTTGGTGGCGAACAAGGGTTAGGATTCAGATCCTGCCTGGGAACGTGGGCGACGTGTCCGGGATGTGGGATCGGAGGCTGGTGAGGTTGGCCTTGTTACAACAGCTTCGGGCTGCTTATGGCATTAAGATCAAGGGTGGCCGGGGGCAGGGCGATCGCAGGAGATATGAAACAGCCACGGAAATAGTGGTAAGTTCTGGGGAAGGAGGTTTAGGTTAAAAAAAAAATCACATCTTGTACCATCATTTATTACAAGGTCATGCTAAAATGATCTTTCTGTATGAATCCAAAGAGAAAGTGGTTAAGTATGTCTAATTCAGTCCAGGTGGTCAACTGCTGAAATTTAAGGAAATGACGTTCTGTCTTCTTAACAAAAATTTTTGGTCATTGTGAGAAAGTTGCAGGGTTCGTCAATTTAGGCACCATTGACCTTTGAAGTAGATAATTCTTTGGGGGTGGGGAGGTAGCTGTTCTAAACCTTATAGGATGTTTAGAAACTGTGGCTTCTACGCAGTAGATGCCAGTGACATCTCCCAGTTGTGACAATTACAAATGTTGCCAGATATTGCCAATTCATTGCATTTTGAACAAGTAGCACGTGGGAAGGGAGACAAACACTCTCCACCCCACTGCACTGCCTTAGAGTTAAGATTTGAAGAGGGACAAAGGGGATTAGTACATTTTCCAAATGTATCAGAAGGGGAGGTGTGACAGGGCCTTAGAAATAGGCTTCAGATAATACCTCTAGATTCAGCAATTTGAAAGAAGAATTTTGCCTGATCACGTGTTACTAAATACTTAAGAGATGAAAACTAAGAACTGATTTGCAGAGCTCTCAATTTATCATTTCTGAAAGAAAATAAGTACTTGGAGAAGAAAACTACTAACAGATAATTTGTATACCTCCCAATAGCTTAGAAATTCTCAGGAAATTAGTCATTTGCAACTTAATGGCAACATATTTGTTTACATTTAAAAACTAGTGTAGTTCCTTGAGATTGTAAATCTGGCTTTCCAAGAACTCAAATATAGTTGGTTTTGTAAGGGTATGAAAGTACTCCTAATTTTTTTTTTTCACCTCTTAAGAAAAACTGACACCTGCCTTTAGAGTCAGACTTGAGTTTGAATCCTGCTCTATCCCTTCTTGGGCTGCTTGTTTAATTTTGCTAAGCTTTAGTTTCCTACTCTATAAATGGTATCTTTTGGTTGTTAAGGGGATTTAAAAATGACAAGGTCTGTAGAGAGGACTAGCACAGTGCCTGTCACATGCCATGTATTCAACTAAAGATAGTTGTTATGATACCTTTCTACATCCTAAATGATAGCCATGCTAAAAATGCTAGCAAAAATGTTCTCATAAAGGAATACAGAAGATTATTGTGCTACAAGAATGGGATCTAATTGGATAGGTAGTTTGAAAATTAGACTTTTTTAGCTCTTTGATATTAGCTAATGTTTTGAGGTTTTTAAGAAAAGTAGTAGAATCTTTTAAAGATGATTTTGTAAATAATACTCTGATACATAAAATTTAAAAAGAATGTTCATAGTTTAATTTTATGAGATTAAGTTATAACAGTTACTTATGAAGCCAATTATTGAGAATAATGAGACTTAAGGAGGAAAAAAACCCTTTGAATTCTAGTTATGTATGACATTTGTAGACTTATAATCAACTGCAGCATCTGATTTATTTCTGCATTACCCAAATAAGCAGTTGCCCATACTTTTTTAAAAAAACAGCTTTTCTTGAAATGATAATCATACTAGTAACACATGTTTTTTTTAATGCTTCCTCTGTGTCAGACACTGATAGAAATGTTTTACAACTTTTAATTCATTTAATTCTCTTCACAACTTTATAACTTAGGACTTATGTGAGGATACTGAGGTTGTAGAGAATGTTCATTTGATCGAGGTCACTCAGCTAAGTGGAAGAGTCGATTTAAAACCTGACAGTCCTGCTCAAGGAGCCTACCCCCTTACATACATACTGTACAGTTTTTTTTATGTTCATCAGTTAAATGGGGCCTAATGCTTAAAATAGGACTAGTAGGATTTTTTTACGCTGATGAATCATTAACAATACTGAATGATTTCTTATTGTAAATATAAGGTTAAATAAGAGGCTCTTAAAAGATAAGTGTTTTGGGAGCATATGGGGAGAGCAGATGCATCTAAGCTAAATTAACATTTGTAGGGTTAGATATACCCACTTATTTAATTTTGTATAAGCAGACATACATATGTATGTATGTAGGCTTGAATTTATTTTTAAGTCCAGTGCAAAGCTACAACCTTCATCAATGACACATTTGAGAAGTTGGAAGGCACTCACAAAGATGGTGGCACCTTCTTTATTAACAAATGTGCACAAACACTCAGGTTAACTAACAAGTTCACTTTGGGGATCTTCAATGTATTACACTTTGAATGTGAGTAATACATTTGAATGTGACTTTTTAAAAATAGTTCTCAAAGTAGTTAAATCTGAATTAACGTTTGCAGAATCCCTACCTCAGAACATAGTTTGAATAGCATTCTTCCGTAGAGTGTGGAAAAGATAATCAGGTCTAAAAATAACCTTTCTGATACAATTTTAGGAAGTACTCAGTGACAGGAAACACAATTATTAATTGAGGTGAAATTTTATTCAAGTTAATATTTGTAAGGTGATGGAAGGAAAGTAGATCAGTATTTATAAGGTTACTGAAGGAACCTATAGTATTTTTCAGGAAATGTTAGTGTTTCTGGCCAAATTCTGTTTAAGAATTTCCTAAGTACTAATTGGATTGATTTTCCATCATGGGATTGGAAACTGATGTAATTTACAACATCATTTGAGAACAATGACTATCTTGACCATTTTTGTGCTCCTGGCATCTAGCATAATGACTAGTATGCCTTAGTTACTTTTTGCCAAATATACTTAAAGTAATTGTTTTCACTGTCTTGACTAATAGTTTATTTCTGCTTTTTTTTTTTCCTGAGGTTTTAAATTTGCTTAATGCTTAAGAAAACATGCCTAATATTTGTGTTAGAGTAACTGAATTTTTCGTTTTAGGGTAAAATATTTGGAGTGCCTTTTAAGGTATTGCCTCATTCTGTTGTACCAGAATATGGACATATTCCAAGGTGAGCAGAGTTTGAAATGATTACTTCAAACTGACATTTGAGTGTTTAATTAGTTGATTCACACATTTGTTTTCAACTAGCAAATGATTTCGTTTCTCGTCATTTATGTAAAATTTGTTTTTAAACGTTTACATATTTTAACTTTCTAATTTGTACTTGTTCCCAGGATTAGATTTTAAGGTTTGGTAATGAATAAGTGTTAGACACAAATTATTTTTGTTCTACTAAGTAAGAGTTTTCATTTCTATTCGACTTCTACTGCAATTCTGATTATATTCAGTAATATGCTGAATTACAAATTCAGTTATAATTTCTTTTTGTTTTAGAAATGGGTAGAATAATATTTAAGATAGTAGAGTATTTGTGAATATAAATTATTTAACACTTGAGTTTTCTATGTCATTTAACTATTTATAAATGACCTTTTGGAATAACTGCATTAGGAATTACTAGGGAAGTTTACATTCTGAGAAAATAGTTTCTTTATATGCATTTTTAAACAGTCTTAGCTCTTACTAACTCATTTCCCCTCTATCCAATGTAAGATCCATCTGGCTCCTCT